GCTGGGTGCTTGTGCTCACACCTGTAATCTTAGCTACTCAGGAGGCTGAGATCTGAGGATTGCTTTTTTCTTTCTGCTTATGTGGTCCTGAGGAATCGAACCCAGGGCCCATGCATGCAAGGCAAACACTCTACCACTGAACCACCTTCCCAGCCCCCGTGCTTTTTTTTTTTTAAATAACTGTAGGTAGTAGGCTATTTACCTAGCCTAACTGTCAACAGAATTAATGCTTTCTCTCCTCCCACTTGTTCCTATCTCTTTTCTCTTTCCTTATGGTTGATACATTTTGCATTATTATAATATGAATGCAATTAAATCTTTTATGCTTGTTATCTAGGTTGGTAGGAGAACATTTATAATGTGCTATTGTAAACAACTATTGTAAAGTGAATGATTAGATTCAGAATAAAAATAACATTTTTCTGGAAAAAAGAGAAATATCTAAGTATCAAATTTTAAAGTATGTTCTCAAATCTTTACCTTTTTTTTTTTTTTTTGCCAATCCTGAGGCTTGAACTCAGAGCCTGGGCATTGTCCCTGAGCTTCTTTTGCCCAAGGCTAGTACTCTACCATTTGAGCCACAGCCCCACTTCTGGCTTTCTCTGTTTCTGTAATACTCAGGAATTGAACTCAGGGCTTCATGCATACTAGGCAAGCACTGTACCACTAAGTTACATTTCAGCCCTTAATCTTCTTTCTTCACTCCTTCATGGAATACATATTCACCCTGTTTGTTTTCATTTCCAATACCGTATCTTCTCTGGAACATAGTAATTTAGAGTAGAAACCAGTTATTTGTTTTCATAAAGTTATGTGGTGGTCCCAGGCACTGGTAGCTCATGCCTGTAATACTCGCTACTCAAGAGGCTGAGATCTAAGAGTTGCAGTTTGCAGCCAGCCAAGACAGGAAACACCATGAGACTCTTATCTCCAATTAACTACAAAAAAAAGTTAGAAGTGGAGCTGTGGCTCAAGTGGTGGAGTGCTAATCTTAAGGACAAAAGCCCAGGGATAGTGCTCAGTCTCTGAGTTCAATCCCCAGGATCTAATAATGTGCTTCGTTAAGTTCAAAGGCATTTTTCTTCAAGCATTTTAAGTTTTTGCTCATTCACTTAAGCACTTATTACTTTTCTAAAAATTTGTAAAGAAACTTCTTTCAGCCACATTTCCCCCACCAAATATTGCTCGTTGCTCTGTAGCTCCCCTTGCTCCAAAGAAAACCAAACCTTTATCCATGGTTTTTCTAGACTTAGTGTCTTCTGTTCCTCTCCTGCCATTCTCACCTCTTCCCCTCCCCCTCTTTGCCCTCTAGTAATGGGGGATGGGAAAGAACATCATTTGTCTTCTTCCACAACATCAAACCTTTTTGCTGGCACCTTTTAGAAACTGTCATAAAAGTTTCAGAAATAAGACCGTGGTAGAGCACCTGGCTAGGAATAAGACCAATATCTTTTTCTTACCAATATATGAAAAGTAAACATTAAATAATTCTAGAAAGCTCTGATTATTACTCATAGCAATTTTATTTCTTATAGTCCTGGGGATCAAACTCAGTTCCTTGTGCGCGGTTGGCAAATGCTCCCTAGCACTTCCAGGGACTGGGAAGGTGGCTCAGTGGAAGAGTGCTTGCCTTGCATGCATGAGGCCCTGGGTTCAATTCCTCAGCACCACATAAGCAAAAAGAAAAAAGCTGGAAGTGGCGCTGTGGCTCA